TACTACTACTACTACTACTACTACTAGTACTAGTACTACTACTACTACTAGTACTACTTCTAGTATTACTACTACTACTACTTTCCGTACATATGATCATACAATCAGTAGTTAGCAACACTCTAGTGGTGTGACCTTGATCATTTTTTATTTTTAAGTAGTACTAACATTACCCTAGTACTACTAGTAGTAGTTGTACTAGTACTACTACTTCTAGTATTACAACAAGAAGAACCACCACCACAGGAGGGTTCATACTACTAGTACTACTAGTAGTAGTACTACTAGTACTACTAGTAGTAATACCTCCTCTAGTAGTAGTGTAGTAGTACTTGCTCGTCACTGCAGTAGCACGAAACAACAACACAACACATAACATACAAGAAGAAAGTATTCACTAACATTGTATGGTATGCTTACTACTACTCATGCTGTCAAAACATACTTTGTAACAGCTACTACTAGTAGTAGCAGTTAATAATGGGTGTTTCCTGTCATTCTAAATTTTTGTTTATTGGAAAACGATCTTCTTCATTGTAAGAATTGAAAATTTCTATTTTTTCTATTTTTCGGAACAGAATAACGGGAAGCACTCAATGTTCCAGTAGTATCGCTGGAGCACTTCTGATTTCGTGAAAAGTACTTCCCCTTTCGTATCCAAAAAATGAGATTTCTACCAATTCCGAAAATGCGGTTGGTTGAGGGAGACTTTTGAGAAGGTATGACGTAGTTGACAGAACTTTACCAATTCCTCGATGACGATGATGACAGCATTCGTGATTGTTGATTGGATTGACATGTTCTCTACGCGCGTCAAAAATAGACCAATCACATGTAGATGCTATTAACTGACAACCGTTATAAAGACTATTGTAGTCTTAATGCGTTTTGTGTGAACACATTAAATTCTGACCCTGTTTGGTTCCTGCTGCTTCCTTGATTGCACCGTGAAAATACAATTCAATACTGTTTTTCGAGAGGAATTCTGTCCCTGCGGTACGAGCACTCAAAGTGAGCATCAGTACAAGAGGCTACCGCAGATATTTTTAGTCTGAAATCCGGCAGTTGTGGTGCCTCGACTGTGGCTTTGATCGCAAGAAACTGCTAAAATCTTCGTTGACAACGATCTCTTATGACTGTATCCGTACGTACACAAAGGAATCATAAATAAGCAATCAATTCTTTCCAGAAGTCCTTCAAAGCTATCACTAGATTCGAAATAAGATTGCGTTGCGCTGACAGGACTGCATTGTCTACCGTAACGCGGTTGTTGTCGAAGCGACTACACTAGTCGATGGTTATTAGATACAATCTTTTAGAGAAAAGAATATCTTGATTTCGATCCTACCATCAGATCGAATCGAATCGAATCGAATCGAATCAAAATCAACAAATTTCCATTTCCGCTGCGGCAGTTCTCAAGACGGTGGGAATTCAATAAAAGCGGATAGAGACATTTTCTGAGATCTTTCCCGCTGGGGACAAGGTCGTCTTCTAACTCCTTTGCCCGGATGGCTTGTTGGATACAACAGATCTTCAATCCTTCCACCTGTTGGTTACTGTCGACACAACAGCAAAAGAGCAATCAAGACCAAAAGAAAGCAACAGAATATCAGAGTATCCGTACCACGCGATAAATACAATTCCATCAAGCTGAACCTACGGCATGATATGACACATGACACACAAAAATACATTCATTACACTTAGAACTCTCCCCTCGCCCCACGAACTATAACATATATCCTCTCCTCATGAACAAGCCAATTAAATCACAACTATCATCAACAATCACACTTTGAGCCAAAGCAAAGAACATAAGCAGCAATCAAACACCAAGAAAGATCGCAAAGAATAAAACACATTTAAGAGACAAGACAACTAACTTAATCAGGGTCGCGAACCATTCGTTCCTTTGTCTATCATGCCGAGCTTTGATAGTAACGAGTTACATAAAAATCAATTGCGTTCCTCCTTGGATCTGCAACTCTACTTCCGGGATGTGCGGCAGGGGAAGAAGAGGCCAATCACAGTTCGTCCCTGGTCTACAATAGGGGATGTCAAGAAAATAATACATCAAAAGATCCATGTACCGATTCAATCACTGCACCTCTTCTTCGGACCCCATTTAACTTCAGGAAAGGCACTCCCGAATCATCGCWCATTACATGATGCCGGGATCTACCGGTCAGGAGAAACATTGCTTCTTGATGTTAAAGATCGCTCTTCGGCGTTAACAACTTCCCTTTCCTCATTCACTGATAAATATAACAGCAGCGACATTGACATTTCGTCTTCTGTCTACAAGTCGACACCGAAGCCTCTTCGGTCACTTGTCAACGAAGCAAGGAGAGCGCTAGCACTCAATCTCAAGCCGTCCTTTATCTTAGACGGTTCTGGCGGGACATACTTCCTACACAATTCGAGAAAGGCAAAAATTGCCGTCTTCAAACCTGCGGACGAAGAACCATACGCCGAGAACAACCCTAGAGGTTATATTCGACAGCCTGGACAGGACATGTTTCTTCGAGAAGGAGTTATACCTGGAGAAGCCTGTATCCGCGAGGTCGCTGCTTTCATGCTGGATCACAGCGGATTCAGTGGTGTTCCAATGACAACCCTTGTGGAATGTCGCCACCCCTCATTTAATATCAACGGATCTCGCCTGTCACTTTCGGAAGGTGGAGCGTCAATCGGAAGGCATTCCCTTGGCCTTACGTTAAACCAAAGCATGTCGTCGTCACCGTCGTCGTCTACTGTGTTGCCCAAAAAGGTGGGATCGTTCCAAGAGTTTGTCCGCACTGAATGTTCTATGGATGACATCAGTCCTAGCAAAATTAGTGTCGAGGAAGTTCACAAAATCGCTGTCTTGGACATTCGTCTCATGAATGCCGATCGCAACTCTGGAAATCTTTTAGTGCGACGACGAAAGAGTGACAATTCTCTCGAGTTGGTTCCTATCGATCACGGATTCTGCCTGCGATCTGTTGCTGATACGTCTTGGATGGATTGGTGCTGGTTGGATTGGGCACAATTGAAAGAGGTGAGTCCTACGTAATGAATATTTTTTATTTATGTTGCTATCAAGAATCGAAGGATGTTTTGATCCTCTAACCTCTTTCCGCTGACGATTTGCTTTTCTTCTCATTCGAAAATAGCCAATGAGCCCTAAAACAAAGAAATATATTCTCAATTTGGATATTGAACGAGACGCCGAAATGCTTCGGGATCGCTTAAATATATGTAGTGAGGCCCTGGCATACTTTTATGCTTCTTCGACTATTCTCAAGGAAGGAACGAAAGCTGGTTTAAGCCTTTACGATATTGCCGTCATGTGCTGTCGTAATGACAACCTGGGCGAGGTTGAATCCAAGTTCGAGGTATTGTTTGCTATGGCTGGGGAATTAGCAGAATCCGCTATTCGAGACGATCGATGGGGATTTGCAGTTGCTTCCAAAGCACTTCAAGAGCAGCTTTCGCCTCATGGTGGAAGCCTCCTCAATCCAAGGCCAAAGAGCAACATTGTAAGGAAGGCGGTTTCTGCATTCGATCTGACCTGTTTTGCGAGTTCGGATGAACCAAAGATACCTACTGCTATCCCGGCAATGACTCAGTCTGCTGGTTCGGAAGATTCTAGTTCCTGCTCCGATGAACCAGAAAACCAAGAGGCAGAGCAATGGGCTTTAAGAGTTCTCGAAAAAGTTAGTCAGGGCAATAGCACGAAACTCATGGCGAAACCTCGATCTGAATCATTCGAGTCTGATTCAGATACTTCAAGCGACGAAGGTGGATTGTGGCACAAGAGTCCGTACACCCAGAGTGATTCCGACGCACTTCCATACATCCAGAGCGATTCCGAAGAAGACGAAGACTCCACGAATTGGGACATATCGCCAAAGAATGGACCTGAATCTTCATTTTTGAATGAAAATGCTATGACTGCGACGAGTATGGCTCCAGTGGACGTAAGTTGCAACCCCTTTGACCACGGCTCCAGAGCTTCCAACTTTCAAGAGGTCCCTCCGACAAGGCCTGTTCAGAAACAACTATCCCCTCTTTTACAGAGGGTGTCTTTCGCGAATCTCAATAATGTCAAGTTTGAGTCAGACGTTCCAGCCAATGATGAAATTGATGTAAAGGAAAAACACGAAAAYTTTTCTGTTCGACCACTTGCGAAGATGGGCCGAAGCCGAAGTTATTCTGCTTTGTCGTCAACCTCTATTGGTGAGAATCAAGCTGACGACGAGAAAAAGACAGTAAAGCGCAGTTCCGTCACAGAAGATCAGTATCGCGAATATTTCTTAAAATTCATTGATCTCGTCGTCGTCCGTGAGATAACAGCAGCTGCGGCTACCTCCGGATTATGAAAGTATTTGGCAGATACGTGAAATATCAAACATTCATTTTCATTGGATATCACTACGAAGCTATCCACCTTGGTATTCCATCTTTCTACGACTATGTACGGCACTCAACTATCCAAAGACTCTTTCCTCTTTTCTTTATCCTACACATTATACTAYTCACAACCTCGAATACAAGTACATTAACATAAAAAATAGAAAAATATATTTTAAGGGATAATTTCTCTAAATTCAATTCCTTATAAATTATGAATAGAACCTCAGAAGTGCTTGTGCAACGGTTGCGGTCCACTGAACTTCGATAAATTTCCCCTGTGCCAMTGCTTGACGTAGTTCRCTCAGYGATATCGACTTCAGTTTTTGCTTTTCGGTATCTGCTGCTCCGATTTCGTTYGCCAAAGAGTGAACATTTTTGGTTCCGGARCCATGGGTGCAGTTAGTCGCTAGAAATCCGTTCAGCCAACCTATGCCTCTATTGACATCGCTWCGGTGACGTCCAAGAAAGTGAAAGTTCTCGCAAGCGAGACCATCCATTTCTTCCTCCACCTCTCGCCTTGCCGCCGATTCGGGATCTTCGCCAACCTCAATGATGCCTCCAACAACYGCCATTGATTTTCGACCTTCYAAAGCRTATTTGGTTTGTTGAAACACCAAAAACCGAGGTTCCTCACTACTATCCCCCCCAACTTTTCTTTCGTCCTCTACCAAGACGTTGATTCTGTCGTAGTAGTCGATCCACATCCAATCGTCATAGGTGGCATCGCTACCGGGGAACTTAACGGTATGGAGAGAGACTTGCATCCATTTGGAATTCAACAAACACTTCGGTTCGCCWATTGTCCCGCTTTCAACGCTATGATAAACAGGACCTAGATATTCCCCAAGGCTAATTTCGCAGGAGGAATCATCCTTCGCTGCGCCGCTCGGATGTGACAACGAATACATTGCCACCGAAAATGATTTCCAGTGTGACAAAATAATAATTATTGACAAAATYGTGCACAGCACAAGCAGTATGTTCCGTTGTAGAWGTAGATTTCTCGCATAGTTCGATGGCGGTGTCACAGACGAATGAGAATTTCCTGCCGCTATTGAGAAGGCTCTGTTTGAAGTAGCATTGTTTCTCTGATGCTGATGTACACTGGTATTCATCACCCTACTGCGCATTTTTCACCTTCTTTCCTCAAGATATGTTGTTATTCTACTCTATCACGGCGATCTTGTACCAATGCGAAACATAATCATCGAAGTCGATCACGCTTATCCCAGTGCACACTGAAGGTGATTTCTGAAAAGTTTTTGAATTGCGAAATCAGTTTGATTGAGAAAAAATTTGGCACSAGATCTCTACCGGTACAGCGGGACACTCGGACACAGGGACACCCTGTACCTTTRAAGCAGTTCATTTTTACATAAGTAGAATACATAGTATCAATATGAATAGTATCATTAAGTGCATCATTCATAAAACAAGTTTTTGTGAGAGCTCCAAGTCACCACAACGTCAGCCATGCATCCATCACACATCACGGACCAAACAAGTCACAGAAAACCTTACGGGTAGAGTACGGCTGCTGAGGGAAGCGAGAAAACAACAATCGACCGACATCATATCTTTAGGCTACGTCCCGACTGYTGTGCCGTATTTAGTGCCTTCACAACATCATAATCTCCTAAAGAGTGTCTGTTCACAGACTCTTCAAAGAAGATAAAGAAGGAAAGATGAGATTTTTCAGAGCCTCGTTAGTAACAGCTCTGGCCTTGGCCTCACTGGAGACTACGACCGCCTTCACTCCTAGACATGGTGTTCTAAAACAATCGTCGTCGGCCTTTATCGGTCGGTCAACGCCAACCTTGGTGGAGAGGCGACAAGACAGGTCTAGCCCTCAGCTTAGTATGATGTTTGATCAACTCTCGAACGCCATTTCGACTGTTGTCAAAGATTTTGGTAAACAACGCATAACGGAAGAGAGCATCAAACCAGCCCTTCGAAGCGTTCGTAGAGCACTTTTGGACGCCGATGTGAACATTGACGTGGCTGATGCTTTAATCGATGGGGTAAAAAAACGCAGCCTAGGAGAAACTGTGATCGAAGGTGTCTCGGCCGACCAGCAGTTTATCAAGGCCATGTACGACGAGCTCGTAGATATGATGGGAGGCGATTCCGCCGCAAAATCGGATACTTCTGCCATGGGCCCAGCAGCACTAGCCCCCCCCGCGTCAACGTTGGCTCTTGGGTCACCAGGAGATCCAGCTGTTGTCCTGTTGGCAGGATTGCAAGGTGCGGGTAAAACCACAGCTGCAGGAAAGCTGGCCTTGTACCTTAAAGAACGAGAGGTCGACTACAGYGTCAATCTAGATGAGATTGAAGAAGAAAATCGTACYGCTGCACGACTTCCAAAACGAAAYCGTAAGGTTCTTCTAGCAGCTGCTGATGTCTACCGTCCCGCGGCAATTACCCAACTTGAGATCCTTGGGAAGAGTGTGGATGTCGAAGTATTCTCGATGGGAACGGAAGCCGACCCTGTCGACATTGCTCAAAAAGCCCTCGCCAAGGCAAAGGCAGAGGGATTCGATACATTGATTGTCGATACAGCAGGTCGTCAGATTATTGATGATGATTTGATGGTTGAGCTCAAAAATATTCAGGAGACTGTGAAACCCGACGAAACACTTTTGGTGGTGGATGCGATGACCGGTCAAGAGGCTGCCTCGTTGACTGCAGCCTTTGACTCTGCTGTTGGATTGACAGGAGCCATCCTTACAAAGATGGACGGAGATAGTCGCGGAGGTGCTGCTGTGAGTGTACGTGGCGTTAGCGGGAAACCAATTAAATTTGTTGGAACGGGAGAAAGAACACCGGATCTGGAGCCTTTTTATCCAGACAGAATGGCGTCCCGAATTCTGGGAATGGGTGATGTGCTAAGTATTGTCGAGAAAGCGCAAGAAGAAATGACTGATAAAGAAGCCAAACTCATGGAAGAAAAAGTAAAGAATGCCGAGTTTGATTTCGATGATTTCCTGAAGCAAGCAAAAATGGTGTCCAAAATGGGAAGTCTTGGAGGGGTTGCCAAAATGATGCCAGGAATGGGAAGCGTAAGCCAGGAACAGCTCATCGCCGCAGAGAAGAGACTCAAGAAGAATGAGGCCATGATTGCCGTCATGACGGAAGAAGAACGCAAGAATCCCGATCTTCTTATCAAAGATAGCAAGTCACGCGAGCGCCTGCAGCGTATCGCTAAGTTTTCTGAAATGGACATTAAGGATGTACGACAATTTATGAGCGAGTTTCAAAAAATGCGAACGATGATGAGCCGAATGAGCAAGGCCAACGATAAGATGAACCCTGCCATGGCAGGTGGAGGTGACGGACCCATGCCCGGAAACAGAGCCGCTCGAAGAGCTGCAAAGAAGCAGAAGAAGGGAGGAAGAGGTGGCGGTGGCGGCTTTGGATAGATATGAGAAGCCGTTAGCTTCTATTAAATTTCAATTTTAGATCATTCAATTATCTACTCTAGGTTTCGTTTAGTCATTCCTGTTTTTAACCATTCCCACTAAACTAGATGAAAGAGTTGGTCGGTTTCATTTAAAATAATTTTTCCCTTGTTATCAGCTCATTGTCTTATAAAGGAGGTCTAACGAGTCTAATTTGCGACTTGACCGTCGACGTGGGAAGCTCGGTACCCGCAATGCCATCCAGAACTCGAAAGGTTTTCATGATCTCAAGACCTTCGACGACTCTGTTCCCTTGGTCGTCAAATGATCGACGGTACCTCCGTTTCACTTGGACAGCCCGAGTAGTAGTTCCGTCTTCAACTCGTAGAAGCTCATCAAATCCGAATCCCTTATCGCTCGGGACTTCCACTGAACGCTTGACTACCACCAACTTGACTTTGTTATCGCGTTGCAAGATATTGGGTTTCTCAACACTCCATTGCAYGTCACTCGACTTTGCACGAGATGAAGTTTCAAACCCACGGTCTACAACCACCCCTTCACTTTCAATCACAGGCGAGGCAATATATCTTGTGCGAAAGGTTTCGACTTTCCCCTCCTGAAGCAGGCTCGCATTGCCTCCGAGGCACCTATAGGCTTCACCCGCCTGGAATTTGTCTCCTTCGACCCGTGCCACGATTCGTTGGCAATCCCAGATTCCTTCCATCGATTTTGGATAAATGGCATCTTGCTCCGCGGCACCGCGTCTGTCCGAAAGCAGGTCGTACCCGCCACCTACATCCACGTCCCGAGAGGCGGGAGGGAGGGCAGCAAAGCCGACCGCGGGCGAAACGATCAAGGCGGGAGACACCTCAAGGAAGACACGCCGACTCGTCGGGTGGTTCATGGACAGTCCATCGCAAAACGCGAGTGACAACAGAGTCACGAGAATGATAGCAAGCATGTCGAGATACAAAACGCCGCTGCGTTGGGGGAATCAATGGGATACGACTATCGATTCAATTTAAGTTAAGGCGATGGCGCTGACTTTCGAGTTGTTCTTCTCCTGCTCTCTCAACAGGTTGCAAAAGTTGTTTGCCTCACGAGAATAGTGACTAACAGTACGTGGTTAAAAAAATTACAGAATCCAGTACACAAAGTACAGAGTATTTTGATCATCATTTCGTTGGTGATCCTTTCACACGTAAGCGTTAGATGATGTTTAGACACCATCTTACTTAAGCCCACATTCCAAAGATTTTTTTTGAGAACAAGAAATTGAAACTTCGTGCCACTTGGTATGTGCACTACTACACTACTACTAGCTATTGTGCAAAGGCAAAGCCCATGTTGCGATATTCTTCGACGACGGTTGTTCGGAATCTATCCTGATTATTCAATAAATAGTGAGTCGTAGTACCGGTGGCTAGGGAGTCTTCGACTTATGCAAACGCAGCAACATCCCGTTCTAAAGTGGAGTTGGAGCMAACAACAAAGAATTCTTGCACCTCTGGATGCCAGCTATGAAGAACGAGTGAACGGGGTTTTACAAGATTCGAAGCTCAATGCGGAATTTACCATCTGGAATTGGCGTGCTACGCTCACACAAAGCAAAATCKGGTTGCTGGACCATGTCGCAAAGGAGGCACGGAGTCGGGGAGATACGACGGGAGAGCCGAGAAGCAATCGCCGTCCCAGACAACGCCTGTTGGTCGAATCGGTCATCACCATTGAATGAGATAGCGCAGGCGGCCGTTGGATGTGTCGTCGCGAAAGGACCATCGAACAAGAAGGATAGATATCCAAAACGAACTAACGAATACGATTGCAACAAACAAAAAAAGGGTTGGCCCCACAATTTCCTCTGTTTTGGTTTGGTTGCTGGCATGCTCGTTCTATGTGTATAAGCTTCGATTCCAAAACTCGGGTGTTGCTGCCTACAAACATTCTGAAAAGGATTTGGCTCTATCTCAAACGTACAAATCAAATTCAAACAATGCAATGTTGGAGCCGCACAGTGTACCGTACTTGTGACTGAATTGCTATATGAGTCTGTTTCTAAAACTAACAAGATTCAATTTTATCCAATCGTTTGGTTGGTTCCAATCGCGGCCTGGTTACAAACCACGACGCTGTGCCAGTTCAAAGAGAAACGTCGGCAGTGACGGTCTTCCAAAGAACTATAAGTCCTCGACCATAAACATCTCTTGTCCTTGCTGTATTCCGGCCTGCTCTAGGGTCAGTTCTGCCAGCGGCCGGGCGTGGTTCCCGCTGCCATCGTCCATAGCGCTGTCGTCGTCGGCGCCGTTACCGGCCAGGCTGAATTCTCGGCGGGGRAACCGTGTCACCAGCCGAAAGGTYCGTTCGTTTCGATGCACCAGGGATGCCGCAAAGGCAAAKAGGTCTTTCGTGCGGGCCGTTCCGATCGCGAAGCGTCGCTTGCCGTGGCCTCCGCTGAATCGGATCTGAACCACGCACACGCCGTCTTTTTGTTCGATGGGTGGCTCCGCAAGCAGTGCCGCCGCAGCAACTATTGTCTCACCGGGTTGCGGCGAATCTACGCGGCGTTGCTGCTGCGGCGGCGACGCCAGCGATTGGCCGGTGCCGAGCCGAAATCCGGAACCGGCGTGGTTTGTCGCACCGGATTCCGCTGGTTCCTTTTCGGCAGGACTCGGATCGGCTTGTGGTTGGTCCGGCTTTGCGTTCGTTTCCCCGATCTCCACCTCGATGTCGGTGTTGATGCACGTGACGGCATGGAACGACGACGGGATCACCTTGGAGACCGTCAGCAGGTACTCGGTCCCCCTGTGCCAGGTGCTTACCTTGTCGCCTCTCGACAGCGTCGCTCGGGTGCGGATCAATGATTGCTCCAGGACCAGTTTCACGTCCTTGAGGCCGTAAAAGTTGCTTCGGACCGCTTCTTCGGTGGGAACCAGTGTGCATCCGGTCCCCTTTGGCAGCTTCACCATGGTGATCTCGAGCTGTGCCTCCGGAATCTCAAAGGCCCCCCAGGCCAGGTGGCCCGGCGTCTGCTCGGTCCCGTCGTCCACTCCCATCGCTTCGTCGTTTCCCTCGGCGTCCGCATCTGCATCGGCACGAGAAGCCGCCGGATCGACGGTGGTCGTCGAGGGGATCTCGGCTCCGCTGCGTCGATTGSTTGGGTCTAGGAGCGCCCTGGCAACGTGGCGTGGGATTCCAACGTGGCCTTCTTCTTGTGTGAATTCCACTACGGTACAGTGCGTATAGGACAGGTATTTATGGTCCAGCTCGTCCAGATAGAGCCTGCTCTTTTCTTCTTCGTYGTCGTTCTCGTCGTCTTCGTCGCTCATGTCGTCGTCGTCCTCGTCGTCAATTTCGGCAGGCGCCGCGAGGTTTCGGAACGATGGGGACGCCGGAAATTCATAGCTCGGATTCAAGACCCCGATCCGAAACGTCCAGGGATTCCCGTCTTCCATGCTCGRGGTCAACGACTGCGACGTCAGGGTTTCCAATACGGAGGGAGGCAGGGCGATCTTGTCCCCGTTGCCGTGGATCGAGGTGGGTGTCAGGAGGAGCGACGACGACGACGACGACGACGACGACGACGACGACGACGACGACGACGACGACGACCCACCCGCCAGAGGCTTTTCTTTCCACAGCCTCCGGCACTCGTGCAGGCACTGCTGCCGGTGCGCCTCTTTTCTCTTCTTTTGTTCCCGTTCCGCACGGAGCCGTGCCTGCTGTTTCTTCTGGTACTCGGCCTGCTTCGCGGCCCTGGCCGAAATCGCGAGTCCGCCCCTGCGTCGCCCCCTCATCTTGGATTGGTCTCGCGCCAATCGAGCGGCCGCGTTGTCGAAATCCATCATTGGTCTGTGGCGTCGGGGTGAAGTGCGTGGAAAGGGGAATGCGTCCTGTTTSTTTTGTCTCCGATTCTCTTTCCGGGTGTTCTCGACCGCAGAGAACACAAAGCASTTTGGAACAATCGAGATTGAAACAATAAGCGTTGCGGTCCGGTAGAAGTACGACTCGTACAGGTATGAGTACGTACTACTATCGTACTTCAGTTGACAAGGAATTTTGGGAGAGAAGGAAATGGAAGGAAAGTGAAAACCTTGGAAGGAAAAAGAAAAAAAAAAGAGCGTCGTCCGTTTCAATCGAGAAGAATGTTTCACATCACTGCATCCTACCGCACCGGTACGGTAGGTTACGAKTTACGTACGCACTCGTACGAACTCATTACTCGTATTTTACGGTACATACAGTACAGGATTCATGCCTTTTACGTGTATGCCTTCATACGTACCATACGGTACAAGGTACTTCGTACCAGGCTACGTTAAAATTTCAAATCCCAAATCCACACATCTTATGATTTATGATACCTACTGTATGTTCATACCTATGTTCATACCTAGATTCATACCTAGATAAGTATCCTACCGTGCTGTACGGGAGGCAACGAGTAATGTACGCACTCGTACGATTCGAACTCTAGGATGAATGATGATCAAATCTTTGTTGCTGGCATCGAACCCTAATCGATCGTGCCGTTCCGTATCCTCCACCGACTTTGTGGTTGTTGCTGTATTGACATTCAAAGAACAACCACAACAATACGGCATCATTCGTCGCTCCTCGACACACGATCGGCAATGAGCGAATGCAGCGATTTTCTATCCGCCTTCGATGCGGGTTCGTCTACCCTGGCCTCGAGGCTGGACCGGCCCATCAAGGCCACCGCCGACGACGCCATGGCGGCGAAGCTTGCTACTACGCACGCGGGATACTACGTGGATCCCTTCGTGGACGCCGTGTGCCGGGCCCCCGGAGAGGAACCCACCAAACAGGGGAGGTCGCCGGGGGCCTCGCCCCGGCTGGGTCAGGCCAACGGCGGCAACCGCGGCGGCGGCCGGAGGAGGACCGTCCAGCCGCTCATCAAGCGGGGGACCCACGCCCGCGTGTGTGTCATGGATCKCGCCATTTCCACCTTCCTGGACACGGCGCAAACCGCGGCGGCGGCGGCGGCCACCGCGGGAGAAGGGGTGGCTTCTGCCTGCCAGATCGTGGTCCTCGGTGCCGGGAAAGACACCTCGTACTTTCGCTATCGCAACGGAAACCTGATGGGAGCGGAAGACCGCGAGGAGTCGGGACCACAAAGGAGAGCCGGGTCCAACCGTGCCACGCAGAGTCCGCCAAGGGTTAAGGTCCCGGTCCATTGGTACGAGGTGGATCACGACAGCGTCATAAAAGAAAAGGCGTCCCTGATTCGGAAATCCAATCTGCTGAAATCGTTCTGCCCATTGATGGTCAAGACGCCAACCGGGTACGAATGCACGGGCAGCKGTGTTGGCCTGCTAGGAAGTTTCAACGAGGCACCCCAGCCGTCCTATCATTTGATAGGCCACGATCTGAGAGAATCCCCCGCAAAACTCTTCGAAAAACTCGGTTTGGATCCGGCCTTGCCGACACTCTTCACCATAGAATGTGTCTCCATGTACGTGCCGATCACAGCGTGCAAAAACCTGTTGCAAGCCCTCTCGGTCTCGGCAGACACGGTGTACATTGCTTGCTACGAACCCATCCTCGGCAGCGACAACGGGTCTGCGAGGGGCGACCCGTTCGGTCGGGTCATGGAACAAAACATCGTCCAGATGGGCGTCGCCAGCCCGGATTCCTGTCTCCTACAGACAAGGACGCTGGCCGACCAACTCGAAAAACTAGTCCGGTGCGAGGGGTTTGATCGTGCGGTGGGTTGCGACATGTGGTCGGCGTACGAAACCATAGTGACCGATGCGCARCGAAAGCGCGCCAGCAAGAGTGAGTTCATGGACGAATACGAAGAGCTGGTCTTGATCATGCGACACTATTGTWTTGTCGTAGCCAGAGGGGGTCGATCTCCGGGCAACGCACGGCAGCAACCCATTGATTTGACAACGATTCCCGGATCGGACAACACAACGGAAGAAAGATCTTCTTCGCTGGGTTGGGTGCCAGGAAAATGTTTAGAACTCGAAAAAGATGAAACATAGACGTTTTTGTGTCGTGACAATCCGCAAAATCTGGGTGAGCTACCCTAGAATAGACACCTTCTAAAATAAGAAGTAACGATCTGCTTAGCTAGTTTTCTCGAAAGAAAGCACCTTCTGGAGCGGGGGTGTCTTTTTCCCCGGTCGTACATTAGTACTGTACCATACGTACTGTATGCCAGGGGTCTATTACGAATTATGACCCCTGCTTTAAGTACTTCTACAAGAGCTTGAATCCCGCATGATTCGAAACAAAAATTACACCTTCGGCCAATGCAATTCAGCGATTGCTTGATTCATGTGATTGGATACGATACCGAAGATTTGGTGAAAGTGTGATCCGACCATCGCATCGAGTCAGCAATCCTACAACGGTATCCAATATACAGTACAACTTGCTGCACTGAAAGTCCAACAAGCCATGAAATTCCCTCCCGCGTTGCAACCCTCGCGGGTCACGTTGCTCGGGTATGGCGCTCTTTTATCSGAATCCTCGTCTCGACTCACGTTTCCGCACTTGGTAAGCTCGGTCCCGTCGTGTCTTATACCGCGACACAGGTCGCTCTGATAGTTGGGGTTGTCGTGCTGTGCTTGAACGGTGCATCGCGTGGGACGCAGTATTCGTTCTGCTATCCACTCATCGATGTTGTCCCGTTGTCTTGTTTCCGAACGGTCGGCAACGCCAGACCAATTTTCGTCACGTTCGGGTCCGATGCATGAGGCGCGTATTTGCACACCCGCATTTGTTTCTCCTCGGCGAAGACATCGTAGATTATCCGAGCACGCTCAAGATAGCCAGCCTTTCGGCCGAACCGGCACCCCCCGAAGTATCTTTTGTCGCGGCAGCCTTCGAGGTTGTTTTGGACGATGCGCAGCGCGAGGCTTTTTTGCGCCGGGAACCGGAATACAAAATCGATACGACCCCGTTCTATGCTCTGGATGGCAAGGACGGATCGGAAGCACTCGGCGAGGGCGTGGTTTGTCTCGCATCCAGAGACGCCGACATCGACCTGGCGAGGATGCCGGATGGCATGAAAACGGTTTGGGATTGGCCATTGGATTCCGGCCTTTTGCCGTTCTCGATGTATCTGAGACATTGTTTGTTGGCCGTACAGAAAGCAGGAGGAGCCGCTCACGAGTCGTTCCTGAACGATACGTATTTGGTCGACCGAAAGACAACGCTCGCCCAGTATCTCGACGAGTGTGGGGACGAAGTAATGGGCAGCCTGCCCCCTCCACACCTGGAAAATAGATTTAGTGGGTGAACGCCAAGCAACTGCTGCATGAGAAACGAATTCGACTTCCAATGGGCTGGATAAGTATACTGATCTGGAACTTTGGACCRACAAAATCCTTCATGTTTTCGTTATTGGCATTTTGTTTCCCCCATTGGGTCACCAGGAGTAATAGAAMCCAATCACACCAGCTACTAGAACTAGAAGTACGTAGTAYTACGTAGGAAACTTTAGCAGCACAATACTACGCTGGTTGGACGGTAACTGCTACTTCTCCTCCACAAAGCTGTTTCTAATAATTTAAAATTGTAGTCTCCTCCCCCTCAAGCCTATTGACCACCATACATCTGGCAACGTGGCACTTTCGACTGTTACGGCCACTGGATTACTAGCTGGTTGAGGACGACGGGGGTGGTCGTCATCCATCATAGTGCAACAGTTTCAATATTGCTACTAGTAGTAGATGTAGCTATTAGTACTAGTACTAGCTAGTAGCAGTACTAGTACTAATAGTAACTACTACTACAAGAGCAATTGCAATACGGTATGGTGTTCCGCACCGCACTATTGTCTTGTCATTACATTCCTCACATCCTCCTTTCTGCTAGCAAAAAAATCACTCACATTAGTAGTATCACGTAGTAGTAAGTCCTACCCGTACGTTGTACGTGCGGACAGACGTTGGAATAATCATACTTTAAATGGTCTGTCTATGGTACGTTTCCCTCCGCCGCTCCCAAATACCGGTGCTACCTCTCGAGGACGATCTGATTCCTTTTAGTTTTCGAGTGAACTCATTTTTCCTAGTACTTTATTCGAGAAGGGATCTCTAGATCTGGCACTGTTGTATTGTACGACTCGTATCTTCATCCGGACCAGGCCTTCTTCCATCATCCAAGACAGATTGAAAACAGCGAAGCGAAACCTCTCGCACACAATCCATGTTCAAGTCTTGATCGAATCTGGCCATCGGTTCAGTTTGTCACGCCAGTACTGTAACAGTTTCACCAGTCTTAATATCGTTGCCGTTGGCTTGTAAAAGGAACTCCTTCTCGCAAAAGCCACAAAACGCGAAGCACACCCCACGGCCCACGATACAGCCCCTTGGCAGCACAGAAAGCATCACAACACAACGCACCATGGGACGCCCGAACAAGAACAAGAAACGACAAGGCGGCCAGCACCAGAAGCAGGCGCAGCAGCGACCGAAAAAGAAACAAAAGAGGGAACGATTCTGGATCGAAGATTGCCGCGAAGCGTCTTCCTCGCTGTTGTCATCGAATGAAAAACAAGCTTCGCTGGAAGTCCTCATTACGCAGGTCCAATTGTTTGACGACTACAGACAGGTTCCGCAACAGCAACCAGAAAACAACGAGGTGCAGAGTAAAGAAGCTGCTACTGTAACTCGAGAAGACCTGAACGACAACAGCGTTTCGGGGAAGGACGGCGAGGCCAAGCCGAAAGAGATTCTTACTGGGTCGCAGAAGCAAGAACAAGAGCAGGACGACGAGAMCACCCACGAAGTAGTAAAAGAGAAAGACGACGAGAGAGATTCGTCAAATGCCAAGGACGGGACGAAAGGAACAAATAGTCCAGTCGCTTCGCTACACAATCCAAGAAAAGACTCGGCGAACGAGAGCCATCCCGAGAAGAACAGCGAGGAAAAGTCGAAGCCGGTTCCCGATGAATCACGCCAGCACGAACAAGGCGTTAACAACGCCGAGGAAGACACGAAAGGAGGTTCCACCGATGGGCTCGACTTTCGCGATGCCTTTATTTCCATCAAGCGTTCCAAGAGCGCTAAGAAACCCACGAGGGTAACAGCGGATTCCGTCGAACACTTCAAGCCCCTCCCGAACGGCGATTGCGGAGACGGCGTAGTCAACCCGTACGACGACAAGGAGGTGCCCGACAAATTCTGGTCGCAGAGAAGGCGGCTCTTTACCCTGTTTGATCACGGAATCCAGCTGGACAAGGAATCGTGGTATTCGGTGACACCCGAGGCGATTGCAAACCACATCAGTGCGCACCTGGTGAGCAACCGAGAAAACGCAATCGTCCTGGATCCATTCTGTGGTTGCGGGGGGAATGCGATTGCCTTTGCGCGKATGGACGAAGTGAAACTGGTGGTGTGCATCGACAAGGATATCGAAAAACTCAARATGGCTGCATCAAATGCTGCGATTTACAATGTTCCAGCCAAGAAGATGGTGTTTGTTCACGACAATGCCGCCCGCATTCTTTCCTTGTATGAGAACAAAGSACTCACCGGCAAATCTGTCGGGGGGGATTACACCGAGAACCAAGAAAGGAGCGAAGAATTTCGGATCGGTGGGACTGAACTCCTCCCAAAGGCTATTGACTGCATTTTTCTTTCTCCTCCTTGGGGCGGAATAGATTATGGAAAAGTTGGAAAACGAAATTATACACTGGAATGCATCAGCGTAGACGGAACAGAGAGAAATACTCAAATCGGTGGAGAAGAAATTTTGAAAAGGGCCGCCAAAGCCMTGGGMCGAGACGGACCCATTGCTTTATTTCTCCCCAGAAACACCAATGGAGTGGCCCTCGGTAGAAGCGTCCTAAGAGCGGGGTATGATTCCCCCATGGTAATGGAGAAGAATGTCCTCAACGGAAAACTGAAAACTATTACGGCATACATTGGTCTTTAAGTGGCTATTGTTCTGTTGCTACGCACGGAAAGACACATTTCAGAAACTCAACGATAACTTAAGAAAAGGCTCAATCGATCCAGAGGCGAACGGGACAATTTGTACTGGGGCCCATCACAAGACCAAATGAAACCCAATCCAGTAATCTGGTATCGCTTTCACTCTTAAATGTATCAGCCTTTGGCATTTTGCCGATAGCAACACGATTATCTGTTATACACACCACCTTGTCTAGATACATGCCAAAGGATAACTGACCTCGTCCTCAAAGTTAGGGGAATCAGACGGAGTTATCCAGCTCAGGACCAACTTGGTGGTGTTTTGTAACTCTACAATTGACCCACCTGTAGCATCAAAGATAACAATCTCGTTCAAGACACCATCCGTTCTCAAATAATCAATCGGTAGAAAGTAGTATTCCTGCGAGTATTTCGAAGTCTCCCCTTGCGTGATATTCCAATACCGACCCAAATCTTTTCCGTTAAGCCAAAAGTGCCCTCGTCCAACCGTTAGTTGGACAAACAGCGATTGGTTTGCAGGGTTGAAGCCAGGCGTTTTGAACAGGACCGAAGCCCATGTTGGGCTTGCGTTGCGTGTCGGTTCGTTTGCAGCCGAAATGAAGTGTTTCTCGTCCAATTTCTTTTCTCCATGAAGGCCGGGAAATGAACTCCACTCCCGTCCATCAACAAGACTTATATTCTTCATGTTTTTTCCTTGAGAAAGCAGCACTTGCCCTGTTATGCCTTTGTGTTTTGGACCAGTTCCAGAGTTTCCAAATCTCCCGACTAGATTTGAGTAACCCATCGATTCTGATAGTATGGATAATTTGTGTTTACCTTTCGACAATTTCCCAATATTTACGTTTATGGTAAAATTTCCTTCCCAATAATGTGAATGATCTTCTCCAGAACCGACAAACAAATYATCCACAAAAACTAAGAGTCCGTTCGACCTTTGGCTTTCTACGTAGAGCTTTGCATCGTTCAAACCAGTCGTCTCGATTGAAAGATATGTTTCATACCAAGCATAATCACTCCACACACTTGAACCGACATTGAGCGTTGTCTGCTCGATGGGCGCATCATCGATCCGAGTGCCGGAGCCGGAACCTTGCGTTCCGATAGGCTCAGGCCAAAAGGACCAACCGACGAGCTCCGGGACTGCACCTGTTTGAGCAAACTCTCGTTTGAATGACATTCCTTTAGGATCTATGTAACCAGCATCAAAAGCCAAAACCCCGTCAATAACTAGTATAGCTGATCTTGGGGATAAAGTGAATTCCCGATATTTTACAACATCGTTTCCAACAGGAATTCTAACTACGACTGCCTCGTTCTCGTCATTTTCAATGAAAGAAATTTCCGTCGGAACTCCTGTTGAACCAGTCGCCGAGAATTCGATTGTTTTTCTATCAACCACACCCGTATAGTCAAACCTGCGCTGTTTACTGCCGAATACCCACTCTTCGTCCTTTGTCAGCACTTCGACTGGTTTTTCCTTCCCAAGCGCGGTCTCTCCACTTAGAAGTGTGGAYGCGACACTGGTGATAGCTCGATGTAGCGCTTGGTAATGACTGTATTTTGGTTCATGTCGCTGTCCCGAGGAGCATAGTGCTGCATCCACAGCGTACCAATTGCCGATGCCACCAGCGGCCTGTCGCCCTCTGTTGTAGCCACCCCAAAACATGTAATAATTMAGATGTGTACCACTTARAGACGAAGACAACAAATCAAWGTTAGAACGGTAMGGGAACGGCAAGTGAGACCGAAACACCATAGATGTTYCGCAATTTATCAGGTTCTTACGCACCCACGAGCAAACCATTTCAAAGCCTCCTTTGCCGCCGCCGATGCCTTTCTACCCCAAAAGTAATCATTAGGATGATTTGGCGTTTCACCCCAATCTTGAAACCCCTCTAAAACATACCAAATGACAAAAATAATAGGTGCAAAAGCTTTTAGCGAAAGCAAAAAAACTTTTCCAAAACAAAYAAAACAAAACAATTCAGAGCAAAAAGGAATGTGCATACACCTTTCAAAAACTAACCTTCAAATTCGGTTACTTTCGTTCAAAGATCAACGTGAGCAAGAAGGAAGACGGCGGGTGAGAACGAAACAACGAAAGCCGGCTACGTKGCTTATCCAAACAATTTCTACGTACGAAGGGGGGGTTGGTCCACCTGAAAGGAGAAGTGCCGCGATGATGTTGGGAGAAAACAACGAAATCAGTGGCTCTGAAAAATTAGCAGAAAATCAAATAGCGGGGAATTGCAGTCCTTCGCTTACCTGGATCCGACCATTGCCACCGTGGCTTTCKAGCCATTGGGCTCCGTTGTTCACTGCGTTGCAAGTATGGATGGTGTTGTTCGCCGAAAGTCCGTTGCACATCGTCCACGTAACATTTGGTGCATATTTTTTGGCAATGGCTCCGCACCAGTCGGCATAGTCTTGAAGCGTCGCCTTTCGAATCGTGCCGGCAGTTTGTTCMGTGGGTGGGTCTACAAAATTGCCGGCGTCATCAATGTACAACMAGCCATTGTCATCTCTATCGACACCTGTGATTTTATCACCATTGTCATCGCCGGAACCAAGTTCGTTCTCAATCTGACTTATTACAATCGGTCCACCCTGGTGTGCCCAAAGACTGTTGTCGCTTATRTAATCAATGATATTGGACACAAARGACTCCATAGCTTTTTAATAGAACACGCAAGAAAAACCGTGAGCATCGGAAGCTACCCCTTTTCGAGTTTTGTCGTTGATAGCTTCAACAATAACTTACTTTTCAGCCACTCTCGGTTGGGTCGTCGAAGCTGCATATGGGGTTTTTCCAAAAGCAACCACTCTGGGAATCCACCATAACTATACTCGGCACAATCATAGGGACCGATCCGGAGATGAACAAACAACCCATGGTTGCCTGCCATTCGGATCGCTTCCGCGAGATTCCAATCACTGCACGACCCGTCGGCGACAAAATYGCGGCACGCACCGTTTTCGGGAGACGACCAATCTGGAAAGGTCCAATCGATTTCTCTGTTCTTGATCGGTTGGTGGTCCGACCACATCACGTAAATCGTGATCAAATTAAGTCCGATTTCAACAGCTTCGTCAAGAGCAAGTTTCCATGTTTTCAACGTAGCTCGCGCAGGGTGCATGCTTCCACCCAGGAAGAAAACACGGTCGCCATTGATTTTCAGAGATCTGYTGTCGTAACCRATAGATATAGGGCCTCTGTTTGCATAATTTAAAAAAGATGGAAAGCCCGAACTCGTAGTTGGGACATGGATTTCTGCTGCTTCGAAGCAAGGATATCCATCGCAAGGAGCAATCTCCMACCCAGAGAGCTTTTTCTTCCCGGAGCTTCYGGGACTTTCCGTTGARGGTAGATTAGAYGGAATTTCACAATAGATCGCACTGAGGAGTAGCGCTAGGAGAAACAAAAGCACAGGCCTCGCATTCTTTTTGAGAACTTTTTGGTGAATCTCTTGCTGTTCCCTTGGAGTAGAACAAGAGGGGGATTCGGAAGTTCGGGGTATCAAATTCTGGCGTTCGTTTCGCCCAACATCTCGGCTCGCATCCGACAACAAAGGGGATTCCATCATGTGCACTATGTCGAGTTGGCGCTTGGCGTTGACGTGATTTGGGGTACAGCAAAGGATGCAAGATTTTTAGTTTTGTTGAAAATGTCACCTAGGTTTTGTTTTGGCTCCMTGGCTCTTGCCTTCACTTTACAACAGTACGTATTAGCACGTAGACCATTAGGAGTACAACCGTACCTTATGAAATCTGAAATCTTTTTTAGCCCGACAAGCTGTCAAAAGCGACTTCACTGGACCCACCGGAACCCAAATCGCATCTCCCCTTTGAAATCCATTATTCGGGGGCATGAATTCTTTGGTTATTTTTCACATGAACTACCCCCCGATTTATAACCGCTGGCCATACCTATTGTAAGTACGTACGTACCGGTACCCCTGCGTACCGTTACGGTCAGGGGTCAAGTGTACGGGTTTACGACCCCTTCGGTACGGTACTTACGATGGCCAGTAGCCACAACCGCAAGTCCAGGAATATTTCTATTACTGGTCCTTACTGGTCTTACTACTGGAGAGGTAATTTCATTGCTTCCTACTTGAGAAATGCTATAAGCGCTTACTACTGCTGGAAAATCTCTATTAGTGCTTACTAGTGGGGATGTCATAGTAGTGAGCACTGCAAAACTGCTGGTGGGTAAGGGGGTTCTGTTGGTACTGCTCCACTCTAGTACTACTATTAATAATGATATATCGCACATCAATAGGACCATGATTGCTCGGGACCATTTTCGGCGTTATGAGAGATTCGTTTTGTCTAATCGATCGGTTTTGCTTTAATTTCGAACGCCACATATCCTGCTCCGCAACCATTACTAACAATGAAGACAACCGGATCCTTAAAAGGGGAAAGTCCAGTATGAATCAAAACTGTACCACTAATTGTTTTGTGTATGAAAAAATGTGGTTTCGCACCTCAGAGTTTGATGCTCGTTGAGAAAAATTTATTGACTCGCAAGAGTCAGGTTTTTGAATTTGAACAAGTTTGATTCGAAGCCAAGGTTACTCTAACAGCCCAGGTAGTCATAGTGTGCACAATAGCATATTCGTATTTCAACATAAAAGTGCTGAATATGTACCAAAAAACAATTGAACCACCTTAGTGTTATCCCCGTCTTTGTCGGGCATCGTCATCCACTACTAGTACATCGTCTTGCATGTCCTCGTCCCTGAATACATCGTTCATCCCATCATCTTCGTCCTCAATGGAGTCATCTTGTGAAATTCCCAGCCGAGAACCTTTGGTCTCAGGGAGCTGAGAAACAAAGAATACAGTTCCTGCGTGTATTCCCAACATGACAAGGCCTTTTCCTACTAATGAACCGTGCCCTTCAATGACAAAAGGACTGAATAATGATCCTATTCGTGCAACAGCATTCGCAGCAGAATGGCCCGTAGTTCTGACTTCTGTTGTTAAAATTTCGGCTGTACTCACCCAAGATACACAACTACCAGTCATTTCGAATATTCGAGCGCCAAATCCCAAGGCAATCAAGACATTCCGATGGCTGTCGTGAGCTGCTGATAAGTAAAGGGAACATACTAAGACTCCCGCCATTGTGTATGCTACTACCTGCAAAGGAATGCGACCAAGCGAGTCAACAGAAAGTATTGCTATGGTTGTCCCCAGAAATTCCGCAGAGCTGCTCACAAAAATAGCTAAGTAATCGAAGTTKTTTGCTCTTTCCTCTCCTTCGAGACCTGTTTGGTTCTCCGAATCAAAGATTTCCGTGATTCCCATGACTGTCCCATAATAGCCGAAGGCGAAGAACCCCCACGCTCCCCACAGCTTCAGAGTTGTCCATCGCCAACGCGGACGAAATAACTCACGGAAATTACATTCTTCTTCTGGCTCATCATCGAATTGCATTCCTTCTGGGTAAAGAAGTTCCTTATCTTTGCCATTTATCGTGGCGGCATGCCTTAATATTTTGATTGCTTCTTCGCAACGGCCCTGTGAACAAAGCCATCTGGGGCTTTCTGGAACAAAATAGTAGCCTATCAAAACAGAGAGCCAGCATGGAGCTACGCATATTGCCACAAACAATCGCCAGTTGCCATCCTTGTTTCCGTGTCCCAAAGTAAAATACGCCGTGATTACAACGAACAGAACACCGATGGTCCAAAAGTATTCTATCACTAGCAAATTTTTCCCTCTTGCATTAGAAGGCAAAAACTCGGCAAGAATATCAAATGGGACTGCATAGATRGTAAGCTACATGGATTGCCTTTTACTTTCGTCATGTCGAATTGGTGCAAAAAATTAACACACGAAACAACTCACCAGTAAGACCTCCTACTCCCCACCCTACCATAAATAAGTTGCCCAGAAGTGCCCAATAACTGTTCACCATGGAAACAGCCAGGCCGAAACAACTGATTATCGAAGCCGCCAACAAAAAGACTGGCTTACGCCCTTTCTTATCAGCCATCGGTCCCAAGGTGAGTGTTCCAAAAATTGCTCCAATAAATAGTATTGATGTGATCATTGCTGTCTCGTCGTCGGAGAGGTTCCATTCTGAACGCAGGATTTCGCTTAAAAATGTCAGAAGCAGAACCTGCATCGCATCAGCAGCAAAGCATAGGCCGGCTGCGGTCAAGACAATCAGTTGAAAGCTACCCATTCCTAACCGTTCGATCGCTTCATCAACATTGATGGACCGGTTCATWAGAGTAGAAGTGTTGGGGGTCTGATCAGCCGACACGGCCGATAGATCGGTCAATGCTGGGGCATCTGTAGTAAGYGGTTCGTCCCGAACTTCATTTTCTTGTTGTTGCCGTTCTCTTTCTTGTTCTTCAAGATCCCGAACTTTTGTGTACGATATTATGCCCACTTCCGTCATCGCAATTCTTTCAACTTTTCCCTTCCATCTATCTTGGGAGTTTCATCACTCTTTGTAGGCGGCGATCGGGCTGTTACAGTTTCATCCTGTTCCCGACAATTCTTGTTCTTATGCTGTAACATACCGTACTAGA